ATAATAATAATAATAATATTAACAATAATAATAATAAAGCAAAATAAAATAAAATACAAGCCTTTTAATTCCAAACTCGTACCAAGAACAAAAGTTCAAGAAGAATATGGACTCTTTGGTTACTTGACTCTCCACAGCAAAGAATATTATAACCCTTCGTTATTTGGCTGCAGAATTATACTGTTTATATACACAGTCTTTGTTGGGCTGTTTCTATATAAAAAAAAAAAGGTGATTGGGCCATGGCCCATGGACCACAACATCCATCATCCCATGTGATCAGAAGCCCCATACCAAAGCCCACAATAGCTGTCCACCAACTGCAAGACAAAGCAAAGTTCCATTTCACCCAGAAAGTGATCCATTACTGCTTATCTTGAGACGGGCAATCACTGTCTCATTACTAGCAGCTTTCGTCGAGGCTATTTCTTCCAAACGTCTCCATATTGCCATGCGTTTCGTCCTAGTTTCTTCTTCTCGGGCCTCGTCTTCTTGGAATTTGAGCAAACACTCCTCAAACAGCTCAGGGTCAATATCGGAAAAGATTTTGCGGATGTTGAGCGTGAGGCTTTGTACTGCCTGATTCCAGTGTTTTCTTGAATTTTTTTCCAGTGCAGGGAAGATGATCGGGAGTATAACTTTACGGTTTTGTTTGATCATGTTCTCGATATGGTCATTGTTCCATAGGAAGAGAGCCCGTTCTGCAACCTGTTGTTGGTAAAAAAAGGAATTAGATTAGAAGATACAAAAGAGCAATTAATGATTCCCAAATAAATGAATGATCACAAAGGATTGAAAGAAGATTATCTGTATAATCATCGAAATCAGGGTAATTTTGAAGGATAAACATTCATTTTTTCAGGAAAGGATAAAATCAAAGAGCTAAAAAACAAAGGATAGAATTTAGAAAGGTTCTTGGATAATTATTAACAGATAAAGAGCACACTAACTGGCTAAAATCAATTAGATCCAATTATTTCTCCCTTTTCAGTTTTGACTATCCAACTTGGATGAATCCAAAGTATTTAAGTCAGCTGGCATATGATTATGACAATCCAAATCCAGGAAAGAGAGTTGTAAATCTAAAGGTAGCACTAACAAAGAGAGATTCAAAATTGACTTTACCACATGGCATGCGCAAGAACATGCAAATGTTAGTTTCTTTGAAGTAATAAAGAGATGGACAAAGAAACAATTATTAAAGCAGCTCTTTTTTCATGCTCATTAGAAAAACTTGTGCATGTTCATGAATTGCCGTTCGCACATGCTCGATTTCGTCGAGAGGAGAATCTTGCATTTTTTCAAACTTAAACATCTTAATGTCTCTGCACCACTTTTTGAAGAAGAAGAAGAAGAAAGAAGTACATGGCCATATACAATAAGTGAGTCAAGAAAGTTGAAAAAGAACAACCTTCATATCAGGTACTAGTCAAACATGCAAGCAAAAGAAATCGCATTTCAGGCTCACTTTTATAACTTGACAACAGTAAGTGACTATAAATGAAAATGGAGCAAGAAGTAAATAATCGGATAACTTGAGGGGTCAAAAAAGCAAATAAATAAAAAAAAAAGAACCTGAAAATGTGAACTGCTCAGGCAACGACCAATCTGTCGAAACAAAGGGACCATACAGCGTTGAAACTCAGGAAGCTGAGTAGCTTCCAGCACTTCCTCAAGCTCACCCAAAAACATAACCTCTTTTGAACTATTTGTTATTGGCCAGTACTTAAGCAAGCCCCTAATGACGGTATCGGCAAGCTTGCAATCCTTCTCCACAAACTGCGTGATGCAATAAGTTAGCTGCTGATGGTACATTGGCAAGCACTTTGGTTTGTGAAGTGGGATGAGAGCCCTAACTAAGAAAAGCTTGTGTTCTTCCTTTAAAGGCAAAGCAAATCCATTTATAATGCTCCCCAAGATCTCTAAAAGCTCCGCAATCCCGTTATGCTTCTCGGTTTCAAAAATAAAACGGTAGAATATGTTATTTATTGTCTTCCTAATAAAAGGGCGGTGCACCATGAACTTGCCGTAAATGCGGTGCAGGACAGTCTTCAAGTACTCTCTCTCTCTGGGATCTTCAGAATCAAAGAGATCTAACAATTTTAGGACAAAAGCGTGATCGAGGTAGCGTTTTGTGAGCTTAGCATCCGTCTCTGGAGAAGTTACGAACTTGAGAAGAAATTCGTACACGATTTGCAAGTGGGGCCACGCGGGGTCCATTAAGGGCTCTTCTTCTTCCACATCAAAACCATCCACGATTTTATTTTCGGTAGATTGAGTGGGGAGAGTGCGGAATAAATTTGCAGACACCATTCGGACAATATCTTGAAGAACATTTTCGCCGAATTTTCCATTTGCAGAGGAAATATAATCGACGAGCTCAACTAGGGTCTGCCGTTTGATCTCTTTCTCTTTCACATCCTTTGTGGGGTCAGTGAAGTCGAATACTTTACAACACATGTTCATCTTTCTGATGAACAAGTTTTGCTTCTCGCCATTTGGAACATCTCTAAAACAAGGTAGGGCCTCAAATGGGATGGGTCCATTGAGCCCGTACGACTTAGTATTAAACGGGTCGTGCAGTTTACTCCCATGATTATTGGTCCCAGAAAAAATTGCACCGTTTGAATTGCCTGCTCGGGAGCCATTGTTTCTTGAGGTAGTTGCATTTGGCGGGACGTTAGAGGATCCTCCATCGCGGCTTTCTGCTAACTTGCCCTGCTTCCTCGGAAGCTTATTGAGAAAATTTTTTATCATGGCTTTTTTCTTCAAGTGAATCCCTAACAGCACCAATCAATTATCTTATCAGGAAACCAGATGAAACAAGACCAACAGAAAAAGCACTTATTTTGAAATGCCGAACGCCAAATCTGATTGCCGGATAATTTATCGAGGATCTAGCTCCCTTTATAAAGACTGTGCCTTGCAAGTAATAGAATCTTCATCTGGTTCAGCAAAAGGAGAAAAGAGGGAAATATAACTGAATTAACACCAAAAAAAAAACCCACATCACATAAATTTTGCAGAATCTTCAACGATTTAGATAAGAAGCCCTAAACAAACCAGGTGAGTTGAGCAGTAACAAGCTAAACAGATAACCATTAACCGCAACTTGGATTTCCATATGAAGAGGAAAAAAAAAAAAAAAGTTGAGAGATTTGAATTCACCTCAGGCTCGGGACATTAATAGACATAATTTTTCACGGATGAAAAGGGTGGTAAGGATCTGCAGGATCTACAAACCGCAGCTAGCTAGCATTCCTTTTTTGTGGAGAAACCCCTATATGAAGATATTATTAAACCAGAAACAGATACCACCACTGTATCTGTACGACTGAAGCTAACACACCATAAGTTTAGAACTAATAATAATAAT